GTAAGACTTATTTTAAAAAAGACAGTAATTTATGTTTGAACTCAAATATCAAATCCGAATCAAATATCAAATCTAAAGTGAGTCATCTAGGTTTTAATGATCTTATAGGATCACAGATTGAGAGCCAGAAGGGACCTTAGTGGATGAGTCTACCCTCTCCATTTTATAAAGGTGAAACAAAGGTTAAGTGACTTGCCCAGGGTTACACAGCCAGTATTTGGAGGTGGGATTTGAAGCCAGTCTTTTTGATTCAAGTCCAGCACTCTCTCCTGTCAAGATCCCCATCAAATAACCTAATATTTTCGAACTGGTTGAATCCGTATCTTGGCCTATTTGGCAGTTGGGGAAACAGCAAAATATTAGGTAGCTGCATGAAGTAGTAGAAAGGGAACTGAGCTAAATGAAATTCAAGAGAGATGTCAGTTCTAGCCTTGGTGCTATCCCAGCTACAATCTCATCTTCTACAAGCCTTTCCCCTTAACCCTTGTGCCTTCCCTCTCTTGATTATCTTTTATTTATTCTGTGTTTGTCTTCTTTTTATGTAGTTTTTTTTCATGTTGTATCCTCTGTTATACTGTAAGCTCCTTGAGAACAAGAATTGCCTTCTGCCTTTCTTTGCATCCCTACCATGTAGCACAATGACTAGAACATAGTAGGTGTTTAGTAAGTATTTGTTGACCCACTGATTGGCACTGTCTCTTTTCTCACTGTGTGGCTTTGGGCAAATTTTTATCACCTCTCAGGAGGCCTCATATTTTTAGACTGTAAAACCCATGAAGTCACATGAGAGATGACCTTAATATATTTTTCAGTCTTCCAACAGTCTATTAATCTGCAGCTACCATTTAAAATATCTGGCTGCTATTTAGAAACATTGCACTTGCAAATACATAATTCAACCTCCTTAAAAAAGAAATGTAGATATGCAACTGTTTGAAATTCCCAACTTCAACCAACAATAATGACAGTTTTATAACTCGAATGTGCTAATAAGCATTTGTATAAAATGAAGCAAATGGATTACGATTAGAGTTTTCATTTAGATGTCCATGGGGTGGAGCAGCCCAGTGTTTTAACTCGGAAGAACTAGGTGAATGAGTTACTTTAAAGTAAAAATCAACCTGTCAGATTTTCCTGATGCGATAACAATGAAACATACAACTAAGTAAAAGGTATAACAGTAGAGAACAGCTCGTTCTTAGGTGTTCTAAATAATTTGCTAGAGTTTCTTAAATTGTAACCTCTTATTTTGGCAAGGTCACTGATGACATCAATGATGGTTAATAAAAAAGCCGCTAACTTATTTCAATGAAACACCCAGCAGGAGAGCTGCAGCCCTGTACCACTCGGGAATTTCGCTCCCTTCCCCCGCCTCCATCTCACATCCACCACGAGTTCCGAATCATCTCTGGTTTCAAGAATTTGAACCTCAGTTAGATGTTTCTTCCTAAAGATTTAGAGCTCAAGTCTTGGCTTTGGACGATAGGAATTAGAGCTGAGAGGGACATTTTGTACTCCCTCCACCCCATTTTCTAGCTAAGGAAACCCAGAAAGAGAGACTTTCCCAAAGAGCAGATTGAAACCCAGGTCTTCTGATTTCTTTTCATGACATCATGCTGCCTTTTAAGCAAGAGGGTCAGCACTTGAAAGAAGACCAGGGAGAGAAGCAGGAGTTCTGTGGGCCTGCAAGCAGAGAGGTGCAGGCAGAGAAGAAACTGATCGTGCAGCGATACCTGACATACACAATTTGGGCTTCAGTGTATGAGAGAAATGAGGAGAGAGGCACATTGTCTCCAGTCAGAGCTCTCTCCCCGGCTCCGCCCCCATGGACTTGAATATGATTAATGAGGAGCCAAAGAGCCTGCAGGGCTCAGAATGAAGACTTTTTAATGGAGAAGTGTATTTATTATAGACAAATCCATATTACTTCCCCAACAATCATTTATCAAAGCTGTGATTTGACTCTCTCCAATTAAACCGTAGAGTGCTGGACTCAGCCCGAGATTAACCAGCTGTAACTTGCCATTGTTGCAGCTCACTCCCGAGGATGGGAATTCCCATTTCTTTCCCCAGTTTAACTCATCCATTGAATGTCTTTTTCCTGCTAGGTTTCTACTTTTGATTACTCTTAATGCTAAGAAGAGTTCGGACCTCCGGATGGTCACTGAAATCCTTTGAGTAGAATAAGACAAGTCTCTGGTGCCATTAGCAACCAAGTACATTAAATAAGGTTAAAGGGCATTTAGAATGAATAAAGAAATAAGGCTCTCAGACTGCTTAACAAGGAAGAAAGCAGGATCACAGATTTAGAGCTCAAAGGGACCTTGGAAGTCATTTAGTCCAATCTTTCCCCCCTTTTACAGATGAGGAAATTGAGACCGAGAGAGAGGTTCAATGACTTTTTCGAGATGGCACCTCTGGCAGAAGAGAAAAGTAAGACTCAGAAAGCTCAATCACTCAAGTAGTTATAGCTAGAAGGGACAATCCTCACGTTATGGTTGAGGATATTCAGACCTAGGAAGTTTCAGTGGAAAGGGGAAAGGGAAATAAGTATTTACAGATTACCTCCTATGTGCCAGGTACTGTACTCAACACTTTTTACAAATATTGTATCATTTATAAATATTATTTCACTTGATCCTCACAACAATCCTACAAGAATAGCACCTGATAGCAGGAGATGCATGATGGCCCAACAAAAGAGACAGAGAAGGAACAGTCAGATAGGCAGGGAGAGAGCCAGGGGAGGGTTAGTACCACAAAAATTTAGGAAAGGGTAGGATAGAGTGGGGAAAAGCACTAGATTTGAAGTCTGAGGACCTGATCTCTGGTACTTACTGGCTATATGACCTTAGGCAAGTCACTTAATTTCTCTCTGGCCCTCAATTTTCTCATCTATAAAGTTGGCATAGAGGATGTCTAAAGTCCCTCCCCACTCTTTGAGAGTGTACCTAGAAGGAGTACACCTAGAAGGTGGCAGATGATGTTAAATGTGACATAGAGGTCACATAGATATAGACAAGGACAAAGAGGAATGAGAAAAGGCCACCAGGTTTACCAGTTAAGAAACAGCTGGTAACCTTTGAGGGAGAAGTTTCAGTTACACCAGTGGGCTTAAAAGCCATATGGCAAAGGATGGCAAAGTGAGTGTGCAAGGAGGAAGAGGCATCGGTGAATATAGATGATCTTTCTAGGAGTTTGACAGTAAAATGGGAAGACATATATAACTAGAAGAATGACGGGGTGACATTTAAATGAAGGTTTTATTTTGTTAGGAAAGTAGGTGAAATCCTGGAGATATTTTTAGAGAGTGGGTAAGGAGGCAACAAGGAGAGACAGAGAGACAAAGGCAGGAGAGAGAGAGAGAGAGAGAGAGAGAGAGAGAGAGAGAGAAGAGAGAGAGAGAGAGAGAGAGAGAGAGAGAGAGAGAGAGAGAGAGAGAGAGAGAGAGAGAGAGAGAGAGAGAGAGTGCAAGCTGGCTTAAGCTTTTAAGGGCCAATTGTTAAATTTTCGTTGCTAGCATTTACACTGCAGAAATCAGCAAAGACTACAAAACTACAAATCAGGGCTTGATTTATTGTACTGTTAATTTCTAGACTTAAGAAAATGATGGAAAATGTTAATAATGCAGACTAAACTCAAAAGTGTATCAAGTATATACTTTTTGTTTTGTTTCCAGACAGCTAGTTGTTAAACATTTAACAACATATTTCTGAATCAAGGTCACACAAGTAGAAAAGGAGGTGCTAACTTGGAGTCATAAGACCTAAGTTCACATAGTGATCTACTACTTACTACGTTTGTAACTTTGGGCAAATCATCTGACCTCTAATAATCTCATTTTCCCCATTTATAAAATGAGAGGGTTTGACCAGATGAACTGTAATGTCCCTTCCAGAATTTGCATCTCTGATCCTATGAGCAAAGGATAGGTGAAGATATAGAAGGGTTTTTTTTGTTTGTTTGTTTGACGAAGGGAGTAGAACAGATGATGGAAAACATGATGGATGGCTTCTCAGAAAAATAGGAGTCAAGGTCACCATCTGAGAAAGACGCAATGAGAGTGCCATAGTGGGGTTGAGGAATGAGGAGTAAATTAGAAATAACCAGAAGGAGCCTGAGAGTCCATTAGACTGTGAGCTCCTTGAGATTGGGGACTGTTGGGGCCTTTCTTTGTAGTGTTAGTGCTTATCACAGTGCCTGACACATAGTAAGTGCTTAATAAATGATTGTTGACTTGAATTAAGATTGAATCAGTCAAGGAAGAATAAAATGTTTCCTGTGTAGCGAGGGTCCAGATGAAATCAGATGATATGAATTTGTTGTAGCTACAATCAATATCATGGTATGACTTTCTTAAGTAGTTTTTGGTGGAACAGGTCTAGGAATTGACAAGGTAGGTGATGGGTGTGACCAAGTACTGAGAATTGATAGAATTTGACTGATAGTAGCACAATGAACCATAGATTCAAGGAATACATTTATATTTATATCTCTCCATATATATCTATATATAGATAGGGTATACACATACGCACATATTCATATGTATATATATGCACACACAAATAAATATATACACATATGTGCATATGTATGTATATGTATGTATATATATATATAGAGAGAGAGACATATAATACATATGTGTGTGGGAATGAATGGTTATTTATATAATCCTAGAATTATTAATAATTAATATAATTAATTAATTATAGAATCCTAGGCTAAAAGGAAATGTCATGATAATATGGTCCAGGCATCATATTTTAGAAATGAGGAAAACTCAAGTGAAGGACCCTGCCTAAGGTCACTCACAGCTAATTAATAGCAGAATTCAGACTATAACCAGAGATTCTGATTCCTCAGTGCTCTAAACACTAAATTATATTCTCTTCTCAGTCCTCTTTCTATATCCCATCCTGTAGGAGAACACAGTGAATTTTGAAGTTACATTCTTGTGTTGATTTCTAATACTTGTTGGGTTTTTTTTTCCCCAGGGTGTTTCTGCTAATATCTTCCATCAATTTCATCTCTTTTCCACCTGTCAATTACATCACCTACTGTATTTAAGGAAGCAAAATGGCCAAGGGACGGAAAGGCCCTAAGGGGAAAAAGATCACTTTAAAGATCGCCAAAAACTGTATCAAGGTCACGTTCGATGGGAGACGGCGCCTTGACCTAAGCAAAATGGGGATCACCACCTTCCCCAAGTGTATCCTGAAGCTCAGTGAAGTAGAAGAACTAGACCTAAGCCGGAACATGATCAAGAAGATACCAGAAAGCATCTCCAAGTTCCAAAATCTGCGCTGGTTAGATCTTCACAGCAATCTCATTGAGAAGCTTCCTGAAAGCATAGGTCAGCTGGGCACTCTCCACTACCTCAATCTCTGCAATAACAAGCTAACCGCCAACAGCCTTCCTTTGGAACTCAGAGATCTGAAGAACCTTCGTACACTGAACTTGGGTTTGAACCATATTGAGAATCTCCCCACTACCCTTGGGGCGTTGAAAGAGCTCCATGAGGTGGGTGTCTTCGACAATCTTCTGACCAGTATACCCACTAGTATTGCCAAACTTCCCAAACTAAAGAAACTGAATGCAAAGCGCAATCCCTTCCCCAAAGATGATGATGTGGCATTTATCGATTCCATAAAGCGGTTAGAAAGCTTGTACTTGGTAGAAAAGAAAGACCTCTGTGGGCCCTGCCTGAAGAAATGCCAAGAAGCCCGGGACAAGCTGAATAAAATAAAGGGCATGGCGCCAGGCCAAGCAAGGAAGCCAAACTTTGCAAATCTAGTTAACCCCAACTCAACAGCTAAGGAGAGTCAAGAGGAGTGGAGGTGAACAGGGACCCTTTCCCTGGGGAAAGGGGGGGGGAAATCGCATGAATTTGTGTGAACAAGCAGCGGAATGTACATCATATTTAGTCATGTAGCTTCACCAGTCAAGCCCATAAAACAGCTTTCCCTTCCTCCTTTGCTTGTGGATCTGGTGATTTAAGTGTTTATTGGTTTTTTTTGTTTTTCTCCCTCTCAAACACACAAACTCACACACAGTCATAAAAGGTCCACACCCCTCCTCTTGCCAATGAATAAAGCCATTTAGGCATCAGTTAGTGAGAAGGGCAACTAATGACTCAGTTTCTGTAATCTCCCCACTTCTGGACTTTGTAAATCTAGGAAGCATTAATGAGCTGGAAAAATGCTGAAGGATCTTGAGACTTTTTAAAAGAAAATTTACCTTTGGTAGCTCTCAGAACAGGTTGAGACACTTTCTGGTATAGGTTAGAGAACTAGAACTGGAGATAGGAGGTGTGGTTTCAAATCCTGCATCACACGTTATTGCCCCACACACGATTTGCCCATATGATCATGAGCAAGTCACTTAACTTTTCAAGGTCTCAGTTGTCCTATCTGTAAAATGGAAATAAACATCCTTGTACTACTTATTCTACTGTGTTGTTGGGGTGGGGGGATGCTTTGAAAACTTCAACGAACTATGTAAACATGAGTTATTATTAACTTGTTCTCCCTAATGTTATGTTTACTTCTTATGAAGGAAAATATTGAAATGGCTACTCATAAGCTTCATGTTCTCCTACACGATGTTTACCGTTGGTAAGCAGTGGTGGTCTAGAATGTTTGGGTGATCTTACTCCCTATTATCTTTGTTTCTTGCATACTCGAGTCATGGACAAATAGCTTGGCTGGCAGACTGCCAATGAGACTTAGCCTCTGATAGAATTGGTAAAAAAAAAAAGGGGCTGCAAGAAAAGAATATGATTCTGAATATAGGCCTACACAATGGCAAACAAGTTTGGGCGAAGCAAAAACCCTCCCCTACACAGATGCAATTAATTCACGGGTTTATTTATCAAATAACAACTTCTGGACACTATCTAATCTGTTTCCCACCTCATCTACTCTAAATCCCTTGTTTTATAGTGAGGAAATGGAGGTCCAGCAAAGTGAAATGACATGCCCAAAGTCACAAAGGTAGCAGGCATCATAGGCCAGAGCCCATTCCGGGTTCTCTGACTCCTTGACTGGTGCTCCTGCCACCATATTGCATTGCCTCTTGTTTGTTCCGGGGGAGGAGCTGTCTATACCAAACTTTAGAAAAGTAGGTCTCCATCTCTTGTCCTTCTGTTATTCTCAGTCAGTTGTGAAATCAGTGATTAGGGTGGGGCGGGTGGGAAGAGTTAGAGAATGAATGGAACCCAATGGCCTTTCTAGCTGGAAGTTACTAAGCCCCATGGATAGCCTTTACAATCCTTCACTGCTTATTTTTCTTTGCATGTGCTGATAACAGTTACTCATGTTTACATCTAGCTTTTAGGTTTGTAAATCACATTTTTCTCTACAGCAACCTTGAGAGGTAGGAAGTACAAGTATTAGAATTATTACTGTTACTTTTGCTTTCATATTTATATCCCCAGCATTTAGCATAGATATGGGCACATAGTACTTAATAAATCCTTTTCCATCCATCCATCCATCCATCCATCCATCTATCCATCCATTCATTCATTCATTCATTCATTCACTTTCCTCATTTTTCACATGAGAAAACTGAGGCACAGCAAGGTTAATTGAACTGTCTGTGGTCACACTGTTAGGGAATTATGTAGACACCCAGCTCTACTGCTTTCTATTCCAGTTATCTTTCTGTTTATTTTATTCTGTAGGGAAAGAAAAAAAAGTCTTAAGCTCTCCACTCTGGCTTTTGAAGTTTCCTCCCTGATATAGGGACATTCCCTATTCAGGAGAACTTTTTTTTTTAATCTGGAAACCCTTCTCAGGTTCCAGTGGCATCACCTATAAGGGTTCCATGGTCCCATGTTATAATGCTGCTGCCCTGCCTTTCCAACACATTCATAAAGAATCCACAGGAGATTTAATTCATTCCTACTTATTTTACTGTGGTAGCTCTAGGAAAATATGGTCAGGTAACAGAGTGGGGACTGTTTATTTAACCACTCACCACTGCAGCTCCTCCACTTTGAGACATCTTTTATCCATAGATGTTATCATTGGGGGTCATGCCAACATAATCAGCGATAGACAGTCCTGACGAATACGACAAAGACTTCTACGCCACAAATCCCATCAGCGCATGCGTTGTATCATTATAGAAAAGGATGGATTTGTTCATTCTCACAGAGTAAGGAGAACTGATCTTAGCCTGAACTAAGGAGGATTTAAGGATGAAGAAAATATTCTTGATGGGAAGGTTAAGTTAGTAAGGACCATGACACCATGGAACACAGGGAAATTGGAATCTCCTTCTCTTAGGCCTTAAAAAATGAAATATAAACCCAACTCAAGGTGATTTAAAGTTGGTCCTATCTGAAGGCAGGGGATGGACTAGATGAATTGTAGAGGTCACTTGCGGTCCAGTGATTTCATGATTTCTCTGCAACCCAGAGCAATTGACTCACAGACTCTCTGCATCTTAATTTCCCAGGTTATTGCAGAGATTGCTGGAATTACCATACTAGATTATTGCAAAAATTTGAAGACTAATCAACTAACATGAATGAAGGAGCTTGAAGAAAAGCAGTCAATTAGAAAAGACTATCTAATATGACAAGGGGCGAATTCTGAGAGTCAAGAGGTATCAGTTCTTTGTTGAGCCACAGAGTTACTGCATGGGCTTGGGCATTTCACTGTTTCCCTGTGTCTCAGGCCCTGCATAGGTGGAAAACTCTGATAATTCCCTTACAGTGACCATCTTTCAGTAGATATAGGATGCTGCATATACGCTAATGAAACCTACCTAGAAATGATATAATGAGGGTGAAGAGGAAATCCAGACATGTAAAAATTCAAAATGATGCATTCTTGAATGATCTGAGGTTTTTGGAAAGGAAACTGATAAAGAGACCTCATGATTTTAGAGCACTGTAATAAGCAAAAAGAAGTCTTAATACTCAGCCTTGGTTAATTTCTCTAGATTTTTCAGAGAACAAATTATAGTATTGTCCACAAAGCATACAAAGATTTCTGGGAGGGAGAAATATTAAATAAATGTTACGTTATTCACTAGTGTGTATATGTGTCCTCTGTCCTCATAGAAGGAAGTTATTTCACTCTATGAAGGTAGGTGTGGAGACATATCTATTTAGTAAGCAATCTTCAGATCACATCTCTTAACTCTATCCCTTTCCCATCCATACTTCTTAGTGCTACTTTAATCCATTGTGGCCTGTTTGTTGTTTTTAAGAATATTTTTCAATGAAAAAAATCAATTTTCTTTCTCTCTCATTTCACCACCACCTCATCCCTACCCTGGAAAAAGATAAACTAAACTAAAAGAAAAAATACATGTAGTCAAAACAAATTCCTAGACATAGGATTCCTAGATACAGACCTATCTATCTATCTATCTATCTATCTATCTATCTATCTATCTATCTATCTACATATATGGTTTTGCAATATATAAACACATGTGCACATACACACCTATGTATCAGATTCATATGCACATAAACATTTATATATCAGATATATGTATGCTGATACATATTTACATATAAGATACAGATTGCATGATAGATGCATCTATTGATATAGATACATGCAGGTGCATATATCTCGACCTATATTCATGTATATATATTTATATATAAAATTCACAGGCATGTGTGGGTATATATTATATCTTTACACGTGCATATATATGTGAATCAATCTGCATTCCGAGTCCATCACCTCTCTGCCAAGAGGTGGATAGCATGTTTCATCATTGGTCCTCTAGAAATGTGGCAGGTTATTGTGCTGAAAGAATTTTTAAGACTTTCAAAGCTATTTTTCTTTACAATGTTTTTGTTATTGGATTTTTCTCCAGGTTTTACTCACTTCATTCTGCATCAGTTTATTCACATTTTTTTGAAATTGTCCCTTTCATCATATCTTATGGCACAATAGTATTCCATTATATTCATATGCCATAATTTGTTCAGCCATACTCCAGTTAAAGGGCATCCCTTAGATCTTCCAGCCCTTGGCTCCACAAAAAAGAGCTTCAATAAATATTTTTCAATATGGGTCTTTTTCCTTTTCCTTTGATCTCTTTGGAGGTATAGTGTAGCCCAGATTTTAAAACTACATGCAGCAACTTTGGCTACTAAAGAAACATTGCCTGTTGATGCAGGGATTTAAATAGATAGTGCGAATGCAGTTAAGATTTTTGCATAATGATATTGGGACCCAAAAGTGAGAAAGAAATGGTTAGAGAGTTGAGGGCAGTGGGGCTGGCCAGATGTAAGACTAACAGAACCAGGGTCCTCATAGTAAGAGTAGGTCTAGGGATGAGATCTGAGTCTAGAACAGGGAAGTAGTTGTGACTACACGTTAAGGGCTGAAAATAAGTTCCTAAAGTCCCAATGCTATTCTTTCTATCTCTAATCATCAGAGTCACGAATTCTACCCATTCTCAGTTGACCAAATGTGTTATTAATCAAATAAAATTCATAATTTGAGAATCATTACTGCACATAGAAGTCTGTGATGTCTACAGTCACTTATTCCATTTTTTTGTGTTTATTCTGAACATAACACATTAAACAAAATTAACATTTCTATATACATAGCAGGACAGAGAAAGAAGAATGTTTATGAAACTGCAGGTGCTTATTATGTACAGCTTGTTTTTCTTTTTAAGTATATAATAATTTCAATGTAGCTTTCAAAACTGTTGTTTGTCTTCACTTCTTTCTAACCTTTCTTAGTTTCTGACCCTTCTGAAGTTTTTTGAGGATGCCTCAATAACCCTCTTTTTCTTTCTTTAAGGAAAACCCCCATCCTCCTACCTATTTCCAACAAGGAAAAAAAAAAGGAAAAACAGAAAAACAAAGTCTTCTTGTCTAGTTCCTGGTGGTGTAGCCTGGCTCCTCATGGACATGTTTAAGTGAGAGTCAAAGAAAAGTACATTTTTCCATTAAATTATTCTTTAAAAAATTAAATGTGGTAAATATGGTCATTAAAGAACAATTTACATTATATTTAAATAGTTAACATGATTTATAATGAGAATTAAAGAAATGCAAATGGTTTGGTACAGCTAGGTCAATCTTGAGAACCATATAGTGACAAGAGTTAGTAGGGACCTCTATTGTTCAGTCATTTTTCAGTTGTGTCCAACTCTCCGTGACCCCATTTGGAGTCTCCTTAGCAAGGATACTGGAGTGATTTGCTTTTTTCTTCTCTAGCCCATTTTACAGATGAAGAAATTGAGGCAGAATTAAGTGACTTGCCCAGGGTCATACAGCTAGTAAGTATCTGCGACCAGATTTGAACTCAAGTGGGATGAGTCTTCCTGACTTCAAGGACCAGAACTCTATCCACTGCACCACCTAGCTGCCCTGTTGAGATCTTACTGATGCTTATTTCTTCTAAAGCTTTCATTTTTGCATATGATGGAATTGTGGCCCAGAGAGGCTAAATACCTTGTCAAGGTGGTACATTACAGAGCTAGGACTCAAAAGTTAGTCCCCACAAATCTTTAGTTATAGTTGATCATTTTTTAGTCCCCCCAGATTTGGTTCACTCTGAACCTTCCCGAGTGTCTAGGCAGGGATTGTTTGGGACTTTAAGGTCACTAGCTCACTTCATATCAAAAGTCTTTGCAGATAGCTATCCTCCAGTCTCTGTTTATCTTTAGTAAGACTTTTCAATGGTTATTGGCTAATAATAAAGAAAATTACCCTCTTCATAACCCTAATAAGCTAAGATGGTGTCTTCCTTGCATCCTCTTTCTAGCAAAGCAGAAAAAAAAGTATTATGATGCCAGTATGCTTCATAAAAGACATCATCATTTTTTAATCAAAAGGGAATGATTCTTCTTGGTTATTATCTTCCTCCAGGTTTCTAACTTTCTGACTACTTTTGAACTTTATTTCAGACTGCTTTCTTTGTTTTTTCTAACTGCTAACAGTTTACTGATTAATTTGTAATTTCCAATTGTTGTTCTTACTAAGGTAATAATTTTCTGTGAGCTTTCGAAACCTATTTCCTAATACAGGCCTCCACCTTTTAAGGGTACTACTCTTCTTTCCACAGAGTATGCTATTTTAAGCTCATTAGAACCTGGGTTCAAATCTTGGTTTCTATGCTT